CTACTACTACTAGTACTAGTACTAGTACTAGTACTACTACTACTACTACTACTACTCCTACTACTACTCCTACTACTACTCCTACGACTACTACTACTACTACTACTACTACTACTACTATTACTACCACTACCATTACCACTACCACTACCACTACCACTACCACTACCACTACCACTACCGCTACCGCTACGGCTACCGCTACCGCTACCACTACCACTACTAGTGCTACGACTACGACTACTATTACTACTACTACTACTACTACTACTACTACTACTACTAGCACTACTACTACTACTACTACTACTCCGAAAATTGCTACTACCACTTCTATTACGACTGCGACTGCGACTGCGACTGCGACTGCGCCTGCGACTGCGGGTGCGGCTGCGGCTGCGGCTGCGGCTGCGGCTGCGGCTGCGACTACGACTACGACTACGACTACGACTCCATTTCTATTACTACTACTACTACTACTATTACTACTACTACTACTACTACTACTATTACTACTACTACTATTACTACTACTACTACTACTACTACTATTATTATTATTATTATTACGACTACTACTAATATTACTACTGCTACTACTACTACTACTACTACTACCACTACCACTACCAGTACATTTTTGTTGGGGGGTTTAGGGTTTTGGCTACTACTACCACTACCCTTCCCACCACTACCACTACCACTACCAGTACCACTGTTACTACCACCACCACCACGACGACGACTACTACTACTATGCTTCCCACGGGCAGCCTAGAGCCTGGTCGCCATAAACGCTCAACAAACAAAGGGAAAAGGGAGCGGAGGTAGGCGTTTTTTTTCTCGGCAGTGCTCGTTGTTCTTGTTCATGCCTTTTTCATCCTTTTTCCGGCCGCCCAAAGTGTCCATGTGCCTGTTGGGTCCTGCGGGGGCGCTGCGACCAGCGCTTCAGCCATTCCGAGGCGGGCTGGAGGCCCACGCCCATCCCCGGCGACACGTCAGCAGGCGCGCGATCCCAGAAGGGCGCTTGCATCAACGATCATGTTGGCGATTGCACAGCCCCACAGGAAGCTTTAGCCGAAGACCTGAGACCTTCAGGAGTATACCCAGCACGAAGATTCTGAGAAAGACGAAAACCCTACGCTGTAAATCCTGCAGAAACCTTTGGCCGAAGACGAAAACCTTAAGGAGTAAACTCAGCGCGAATCTTTGACCGAAGACTCAAGCCGAGGAGTAGACATGAGTAAACCCAGCACGAAGCTTCTACAAAAGACGAAAAGCCCGGAGGAGTAAACCCCGCAGGAATCTCTGGCCGAGGACGGCAACCTTAAGGAGTAAACTCTGCAGGAACCTTTGTCCAAAGACGCTGAGGAGTAAGCCCAGCACGAAATTGTTACGAATGACGGAACCCTGAGTAGTTTACCCGGCACGAACCTTGGACCAAAAGCGCAAACCCAAAGTTGAGGCGAACTAATTTGCGGTTGAAACGGTGCGTTCGAAAAAAACCAAAAAAATCATAACTAACATGCGTGTTTGGGCACCGTCTGCACAAATGTCACATCTAAGCAAAAAAAGTTGCAACTAAGCGTCCTACCAGCTGTTGATGGTTTTCATTCCCAAGCAAAACCAAACATGGCGAACCAGCATCCCGGCAGCAAAGTCCAGGCTGTTATTTAGAATTTTACGCAAAGCCGCCGCCCCTGCTGTTCCCAATAACGCGAAGAGGAGAAACGTACAAAGTACAGCGCTCGGTCGGTGCACGTTAACAAATGTTGTTAGAAGCGTGTATTTCAGGTGCACACTGGGCCCATGATTCGATTGCACAACGGTGTGTTGAACACGTGCGCTGCTGCGGCACGATGGGAAGAGGCCAGGGGTGGTGACCTTCCAAGTTCCATTTGTCCGCGTTGGGTCATTGGGAATCGGGTAATAATTGTCATGGTTTACACGCAACGTTGTATCTTGTTGTCAGCCATTGGAGCATGCAGGCCTTGCAAGCTCTGGGACAAGCACAGAGCGCGACTGAGTTGAGTTTTCTTCCGGCCATCAGCGCAAGTGCGCGGCAGCAAGAAGCAGCTGTTGCACAGCAGCTGTTGCAGCTCGCCGGTTGTTCGTTGAATGGGCTTATCTCCAGCGTAAACTCATGGCAAGGTATGAAGGTTGTTTGGGCGAGGACACATCGATAGACCGATATTAGAACTTGCACTTGTGACGCACAGTTTGCACAAGGCTTGTAGATCGAGAGGTACACCGAGGGTTCATGGGAACACTGTATGCTTAACATGAGGTTGTGGCAGTCAAGTTGAGCAAGAGAGGGGTCCGTGTGATTGCACATTCATTCAGTTACCGAGGTCCGAGATGCAACAAAGATCCTTGCAAAGGACAGCTGAAACCTTCACATCTGCCATGGGCGCGACCGACGACACTTGGGGTCGAAGCAGCAGTCACCTCGAGGCCCACACTCTGTGGAAGTTATATGATGCCTTAGTGGCCTTGTTCAGGGTGGCATTATGTTTATGCTGTGTCATGAAGGATGTTTATTAGCCGAACGGAACGGTGTGAGTTGGGTACGCAAAAGCAAAAACATTGGAGCTGCGGCGCCTCAGGCAGGTTGGCCATGGGCTTTGCAGATGATGCAAGACATGGTCGGTGCCTTCACCCGTGTAGATGCCGTGGCCATGAATGTGCCGCTGAACAAGTGTGTTCGAGCACAGTGCTGGGCAACAGCATTGGGACTTGCGCCGGGTTGCAGATGGCATGATTCAGTTTTCGTTGTTTATAACTAAATGCAACTCTGAAGCAGATCGCGTGTTGTTGAGATCTCCAAGGCCGACGCTTTCCACACCATGAGTGTGCTCGCGACAGCCGTCACTGATGCCGCCCTCGTCATGGCACATGTGGCTCAACTGCATTTCGTGAACTCGCCTTGCAGACACGGACTCCCCGTGCCGACCGGACACACACACCAGAGACAGACCCAAGCAACCCCAACCACGAGCAGGCTGTGGCAGATATGTGGCAACTTTCGGTGACGCGACTGGGCTCTGTCAAGGACCACTCCGTGGTCACACTGAACCCATTGCTCGATGCCTGTGCACCTTTGCGAAACTCATTCGGAGCTTGAGAAGTAAACATTTGTTTGCTGAAGGGTGTGCCTTTAAATTGTTGCATGCATCCGCAAGAAGAGATTGTGGTCCAAGATTAATGTCGCACATTCGTGAATTAAGTAATTATGTGGGGCGGATATACGACGTTCTGACCATCGTGTCTTGGCTCCTGACCCAAAACCCCGAGGCTCGAAAGACGAGCGCGCACTCCTGCAAGGCGTAAAAAGAAACGTTCATTAAGTAGTTAGCAAAACCCTTTGCCCAAAAAACTCACAACCCAATGCTTGCGAGCCCTGTATTGCTTGGGGATGTGTTGCAGACTAAGCTTGTTCCGCCTGGGCCCCCCAAAACATGAAGCCCCCCAACCACATTGAACCCCTGGCTTTCTGCCAATGCTTGCCCCAAATGTGTGCGATAGAATGACCAATGCCGAGGGACACGGAGCTTGGGAGGCCAGGCCCCGGATTGAGAAGATTGCAGGGTCGCGGTTCAAGAACTTCGGCACGAGCCCGGAAAATGTTACGTTTAGGGTTCTGAGGAACGCCTGCGGGTTTCAAGGATTCTGGATTTGTGGAATTGCAGATTCAGAAAGGTGCTAGGGCCGAGGGCGAGGCATTAAAATGTACAAAGGTGTGATAAGTGGTTCGCTTGTCGCATGTTCTCTAGTTGCGGATCAAGCCTGATTTGCTAAGACGCAACGTAATTAGGAGATTGGGTGTGTTGGAATGTAGTACGATTGCCCATATGCTGGCAACTCTTGACTAAGTGTCAATTCTCAACACTGCCTCGCCTGAACTTTGATTCAAGTTGGGTACATTTTTCCTTGTGCTTCTCATTGTCCTCCTGTGTTGGAGGTCGGAGCAAACCTTGTTCTACTTTTGGTGTAAAATGTTGTGCTCTTTTTTGTGATACTTCTTGTGTAACGTGTGGTGCTTCTTTTTGTGCTACTTCTGGTGCAAAATTTAGGACCAGGTGCCAGATCCAAACCTGGTCTACGTGTCGGGTGCCGCTGCACTGGGACCGCGTGATCGGGCAGTCGGGCCCAGCCACTTCCCTCTGCGGCCCTAAGCAGGGACCGCGGCCGACAGAGTAGCAAGACCAGCGTAGCATTGGCACTTTCTTGCAGGCGCAAAAGTAGTAAAAGGTAGGGGGCGGAACAAAATCATAGCCTAACAATCAAAGCATTTCGTATCAAACCGTAGCAGAAACATTGATACACTTGTGTCGAGGTCCCTGCATTCGCTTGTGCTGAGCTATTCTATTGGTTTTCCACCTTCCGCGCCCTCGGAAGGTGGCCTTGGGGAGTTGCCAAGCCGCTTGCCACCAATATAGGAGCGTTCATACAACGAGGTGTTCCGTTTTAGATTTTAGACGGGTCCTGAGATGAGGGTGGTGCTCCGTCCCCGAGCCGGTGCATTATCAAAAGACACTCTGCGGGTCCTTCGGACTTCCTGAAAGGGCTCCCTTGTTTAGGCTCCATGCGGCATGCGCATGTCTGTAAGGATTCCAGCAAAAGGAGTTTTGGGATATTGGGCGATGCAGGATTTTAGCGTGATGTTCCGGGGATGCGAGCATGAGGCTTGGGCTTGACATTGCTTGGCCTTGCGGTTGAGCTTGCAGCCTTCAGTGCATGAAGGTAAAAATATTTGGATTCTTGGGGGCGTGACTTCACCATGAAATGGTAAGGAAAACCCATGTGAACTCGGTCGGTTAACGACAGGCCTACGGGATACTTATTTGCGGTTGGACCACAAAACTAAGCCTCCCGTGACGGTTTCCTTGTTTGGTTGGGGGTGGCTGGAACAGGGGCCATACAAGCGGCTTGTATGGCCTGCAGCCTCGAGACTTCCCGTCACACGTACTCAACGACACAGAGAGCAGTAGCATGGCCCCTGTGCACGCTCCGAGAAGTAAGGATTCTTTGGGGGTCTGTATCACAGTGAAATCAGGCAACAAATCCCGAACCCCGCTACTCCTGACCGTATATACCGAAAAAAAGGTGAGATTCTTGAACCATGTCTGAGACTGCCTGTCATGTGTGTTTATGGGTAAAGCCTCAAGCTTTGAACCCTCTCGCCTGCTGCCCTAGGAAGCCGGGGCCGCTAGAATTCGCATGGACACCATCAGCTTCTTCGTCCCCATCAGGGAGTTTAGGGTTGTATGGGGTTCAGAACATCAGCATCGAGTGCACTGGATAAAGGGTTCAGTGCAAGAGGGTCAGAATCATGAGTTATGACTCAAAAACAGATGCAACTCAGCCTTGAGAAGACCCCGACATTGGGTGTTTGGGTGTTGGGGGGTGCTTTGGGGTTGCTATTGTATGCCTTTTTGCCCCAGGCTGTTCGTTTCCTTTGCTGCTGTATGCGTTTTTGGGAGGTCAGGGAGGGTCTAAGGTTGAAGGGTTCGGGTTAGAGCAATACGAAGGCGTCAACTCTGCCATCAGTGCTTGCGCTGCTGTGGGGCAGTGGCTCGAGGACGGCGGGATGTTCTTGCGGCAAACCTGAAAGCATGTTTCGTTGCTGGCAGTGGCCAATGCAATCTATGGAGCAGTCCGCAAGCCTTCAACCTGACCTTTTTAAGGTTACCATTTTCGGGTTTAGGCCTAGACCCTTTATCCTCAACCACGCCCCCCTTTCCGGAAGTGTTCTAACCGCCACAGGCGTCCTCACTGTTGCGATGTGCCAGCTTTGAGAGTCTCCAGCCGGATGCTTGGTCCGGTGCCCGGCCTTCGGTTTAGGGCTGTAGGACGGGTTTAGGGCAGTTTAGGCTTTGGGGTTTTGGGTTTCCAAGTGCCAGAGAACCCCAAGCAAGTGTGTCTTTAAGGACGGTGGACTCGCTGATGAGTGCCGCAGGCCGGAGTTTCGCTGGTGGCATGCTGCCTGTGTTCACGCACGGGGCGCAAGAAACCCTTAACCAATAAATCCTTCAAGCCCCAAACCCGAAACTCCAAAGCGTATCGGTGTTGACCGGTGTTTGCTTTGAGGGTGAGGTTGAGGGCAAAACCTTCAAGCCACCGATCTTGCGAGACACAAAAGGTCGTGCAAAAAAATTGCAGCCCAAACCCCGAAGCTTAAGCCTCAAGCCGCCAGAAAGCTCGGATCACAGAGTGTCTAAACCCCTTAAACTGAGGAAGATGCCTTCCAGCAATTGAAAATGAGCCCTTTATTACTTACGGTATTTCCCTCCCCATAGTCTCCATTGTAGTTCCTCTTTCGGGTTATTTTGTGGGATTCTAAACATGAAACTTGTTAAACTGCAGAGAGGAGCTACAATGGAGACTACAGGTATTTAGCTTTTTGGAGAGCCACGGGGAAGGTACCCATCTCGTCTGGGATGCGACGGTGGATCTCCTCCTTCGTTCTCGGAATCGAGGACGCAAGCACGCTGCAAACCCTAAGCTCCCCTGACAGCCGTAGCCGTACCCGAAAACCGACCAAAAGTAGGTAAGCAGATAGTAACCCAACACACCAAAGAAGCACACTTATTCTGCATACTGTTGGGGTCCAGGTACACCCAACTTCAAGAAGAGGGCTTGAAATCGATGCAAGAGGACCCGACGAACCTAAACCCTGCATGTGCTCTGGGCCCAACTTTGACCCTGGAATGATGGCCCCTATAAGCACCAAAGCCCAATTCTCATTACTGAGGCCCCGCATAGAACGAGTATGAACCTTGTGCTTGATACAATTAGCGCAGAAATATCAGAGACCTGGGACTCAAAGCTGGGAGCCTCAAAGCTCCGACAATCCGACTCTCAAGCACCGTTTGGTGTTCATTTGATGCTTGGATAGCCAGTATGGTCAGTGAAGTTGGTTCTGGGGATTAGAATGGGGGTTATTTAGGCGATGCTACGAGCTTTCACCGGGGTGTCAAGATTGAGTTGGGTTTGAGGGTTTAGCCGTTCAGCCTTTGGGGTTCCGGGGTGCCGGGTGCGCACATTTGGCACGCCAGAACATGACTGTGGCGGCGGATTTTGGGAGGCAAAGATCATGCGCGGCATCCCAAGCTGCGGCGCACGCATGTTTTTTTTTTCCGTTTGGGAGCCCGTCGTCTCCATTTCAGTGATTTCGAGCCGATATCGGCCAACAAATCTCAAGAACGGCACGGAGCGCGATGCATCAAGTTCGGGAGCAGAGCGAAACTGGTAAAAAGAACAACCGACACCGCACAACCCCAAACCTTAAATGCGCTGAACCCTACGCCCTGAACATCCCTATAGACCCTAGCTGCCAAAAGTTCAAGCGTTCCTTCCTTTCGAAAAGGGACTCCCTGCGCTTGGAATTTCTAGGCACATGGAAACAGGCTTTCCAACAAAGCTTATGAGCCCTGAACCCTGAACCCGGACGCATAAAGCCCTAAATCCTGGAGGAATCGAACCCGGGCTGGCGGGTGCAGCGGCCTCCGTGGATGCCCGGATCTGTCAGAGGGAGTAATTGGGTGTTATAAGATTTCCTGTAAGGGTGTTCTATCAGGGGCTTCTTTAGGGTGTGGGAGTTTTGGGGTGCTTCAGAGTTTTAGCGACATTCCAGCGCTTTGTGGGTCTAGGCCGGTCTAGTTTTAGGTCTGTGCGTTCAAGTTTCAAATTCCGAGTGCTTTAGTTTCCTAGGGTTTGGGACACCGCTGTTTGGGGTTTGGGGCTTGCTACCGCAGTGGCAGTAGCAGCAGCAGCTGCGCATCAACTGAGTAGTAGCAGTAGGAGCAAACGGGACACTAATCAGCGCTGGCCGCAGCAGAAGCCATGATTTTTGTCGTCATGACAATGATAGTTGTGTTGGCGATGATGATGTGGTTACCACCGGTTATATGATGCCGCTTGCTCTTTACATTCAGTTGAGTTGCGGAGATGACAACCTCGTCTCGTCTTAACGGAAAGGGAAGATCAACTTGTCGGTCTGAGGATGCTTGCTGCCACTCCACGGACCACGGCTCCTGGGCGGCGGGGCTTCGCCTTGGCGCATGGATGCTTCTGGGCACATTTCAGAGCGACACAAGCTCGGGAAAGTATGTCCATGATGCTGCAGCTGGTTGTGTCTGTAGAATCTGTACGCGTTGGCGTCTTGTGCCTTGGGTGAAAGCATTGAATCAGGAGTGTGGTCCTTGGACCTGCTAAGAGCAGGAGTGCTCAGCCGGCTTTCAATTACTTGACCGCAAAGTGTGTTTTATCGTGCGTGTGGGACGCAGTGCGTGCGACAGCCAAACAGCGCCTTCTGTTTCTTCTAGAATTTCTAGGACCCACGTAAGACCTTCAACTACTATTCTACAACCCTTATGGCCTTATGGATTCCTGTTCAAGCATTTTCCGAAGCGTCGCCAAGCTGTTGCTGGGGTTCCCCTAAGGATTTTGCAGGTGTTCCCGTACAGAAAAGGCAGATCCCTATAGAACCCTTATAGATCCCTCTGAAGGACCCTACAATAAACCTTGCCCTAAACCTTGAAACCGATCCCTCTAAAGGAACCCTAACCCCTTTTTGCATCCTTTAAGTAAAAGGGAACCCTATTATAGAACTGTATGGAGCCCTTAAGGGTTTAGGCGTTCATTCGACCGAAAGCCGGAAGGCATAAAGCAGCTTAGGTTTAGGGTTCGTTAAAAGGTCTGATAAACTGACCCCTACGCTTCTAGGTACTTTTTCTTACTTCCAAATGGCTTTAGGTTGTTTCAAGGTAAGCAAGAAAAGCCCTAAACACCCCCTAAGACCCCAGACCCAAAACTTCAGGTTCTCAGAGAGACTGGAGCCGCATGCCATGAGCCAGAGCTTGTCGCCAGGTTCAAGAGGTATAGTACAAGTTTTTTGTTGAGGAGGGGGGCGGGGGGTGGTGTGTTGGGGGTGTGGCTTGGGTTGCAAAAAATCAAGTTTGTGGGCTCTCGGCATGTTTAGGCTGTACACTTTGTTGATTTTTTTCCGTTGTTTTTGTTTCGCAGGCTTTATGGCGTTCGTATACCAGCCCGGGATCTCGACATGAAGTAATTAGTTGTCACGCTCCAACGGCGCAGGTGATCTTCTGTATTAGTTGGTTTCCGGCTGCTTGGGCGTAGCATTCGTCACCGTCGTAGAGTTTATTTCCATCAACTCATTAGCCCTCGCAACTGTGAAGTTCAAATCCCATCATTGCTGTGACTGGTACCAAGCTGAGCAGCATGTCTTTCTTGTCCTGACCGTATGGGGTGAGCCTCAGGCTACTCATGGAGTGTGAGCAGCGCGGGGCGTATGGGCCGGAGCGGTTCCTTCTGCAAACGCAGGTGCCGCGGTTACTGCAGATGGCGGATGAAAGCCTTTAGCGCCTGACCTTCCAGCTGCCCTCAATCCGGCTCCTCCATCCTCCTCCCTCTCACTGTCCCTCATCACTCCGCCTCTCACCCCTCTCCCCTTGTCTCCGTGTCTCCTGCTCCTTCTTCTTTGTGTCGTAGCCTCTGGGAATGATTCTCACGACGTCAGGCAGTCCGAGGTTCAAGGTTGCGGGGTTCGGGTTTCGCGCTTGAGGTTCGGCACTTCGGTGTTGTTGGGGAGTGTTGGTGATCTGGGGTGAGGTTTAGTGGCACAGATGGTAATTACAGTTACGACTGTGGCGATGACGATCCATGTCATCGTACCGCGGCACCACCAGCAGCACCAGCACCACTGCCATCCTCGACATCATGATCAGGATCATTCTCATGCACAACCCCGTGTGGATGTACCGAAGCGGACCTTGCGAGGAATGCTTCTACGAATCTGCAACAGCTTCTGATGTTAATGCTACATGCCATCCAGTTAACACCATCCAGTAGCATGCGCATGCTCTAACTAAAAAATCCACATTGATGGTAATTCTGAGCCCTGCTTCTTCACTTCACTTAGCCACTCGGGCTCAAAACCGCAGGCCCCTCCAAAATCAGCCCTAAACCCTGTGCCCGAAACCCTAATTCCTAAACGCAACCCTAAGCCATGTCTCCGAGCTGCAAAGGGCCGGAGCCTCAACTTATGTGTTGCTTTTGATCCGTTGTTCTCCCCGTTTTCAAGACTTGAACCCGGGCAGAACTTAGAGACAAGACTTTCTTTGTTATTGGGTTCTCCAGAGGTGCAAGACTTGACTGTAGTGCAGGATGTTTTGTAGGTCTATCCGAGACGACTTTGAATGGAAGGCGGGGTGGAGTGTTGAGGGTTTGCTTGGCCCTGAGCGTTTTCATGCTGCCTGGCCCTGCCTGGGTTCACCTGTCAAGGCGAGTCCCCCAAAATGCTACATGACTATATGGCTGTTGCTACTGAGGTTACTGTGCCCCGGGCCCAATCGTGCTAAGCTAAACTATTGCGGGCATAGCTTTTGTCAGCGGAATGCAGAAGGAACGCTCTTTGAGAAAGACCAGCCTGAATTGCCATTGTTTGGCATTGTCGCTGCCGGGTGACCCACCGTGTAATTAGCATTCTGGATCGTTGTGACCATGTACGCACAGCATTCAGCATAATGAACCCAAATCTATCCTGTCTCCGTGATTGGGCCGTAATAAGGTTTCTGAGAGGACTTTTGGCATATCGTAGTCGTCGGGCGTTACCGGGGTTGTTATAAGCCCTTGCCTAATTAGGCCTGCCCAGGCTCATGAAAACAGTTGTCAACATGGATGGAGCAGGTGCAGCACCTAAACACCCTAAACCCTACACCCCAGACCCTAAACAGGGCACAAGACCAGGGTGGTTCGAGTCGTCGTTGCATGTTCCAGGTTGAGGTTTTCGTACCGCAACATAAGTCGAAATTCTTGGCCACTAAGACCCCCAAAACGTTGAACTGAAAGGAAACGCCGAGAGCTGCAGAGATCTTCAACCAACTCCGCCATAACACTCCAGCACCTCATAGTTTAGAATGGTCCCCTTAAAGGCGCCCTTGATTGAATCCACCCTCAAGTGCGCTGCTCCGCAGCCGCTTTGCTTATTCCGCCCGGGGAGCTCCCCAAGAACCGAGCCGCGATGCCCGGGCTCCCGGCCGTAGCGCCGAGCGTGAAGCCCGACAAGCCGGAGGCTTCCGTTTCCAGGGGCTATGTTTTTTTTTTGGGGGGGGGGGGAGGGNNGGGGGGGATGCTTTTCGATATGGAGTCTAGGGAGTCTAGAAGGATTCTATACGTGTTTCTTCTCGGGCGTTGATATATATCTCAGAATATGATGTCACCTAGCTGAGTAAGCGCGTGTAACTGCAGCGGCCCTCGGGTCTTCTCAGTCCTCAAGCAGCACTGCTGGAAGATAAAAGCCAGGGACAAACTTGCCCAGCCCAGGATAATGAGAGCCTTTTTAATCTAGACGGCCATACCGCTGCCGTGATTCCTTAGCTTCATCGAGAATGTCTGGAGGTTGCCATCGGAGTGGCGCGGAGTGAGGGCAGCGTGAGGCACAGGCGGAGCATCGACTCGGGCATGGAGAGCTCGGACGATGAGGAGTGCTTGCCTTTGTCCTATGCATGCAGAAGTAGGTGTATAATAGATTGATATTACTGCTACGTGGCCGCTATTGTGCCTACTATCATGGTTAACATTTCTGCATTGGTTGTGGCACCTAAACTGCATGCAAGGTGTTACATCAGGGCATGTTGTGTGCATGTATGTCAGGGGCAGTTCTGTGTGTTTCATGTGTAATTAGCTATGTACACCTTCGGTTGCACAAGCGAAGACAATGATCAGATAATGGCTCGACACTGCTACAAACTTACTAGTACTGCGAGGGACTACCACACGCACCATCATTGCCTGCGTGTTTTTCGTCTAAACCTTTAGCCCCGAGTGCATCAATTTCTGAGCCCCCAAGCAAACCCTAAACCCAAAGCCCCCATTATGGACACCCGGCCTAGTGACCAGCTCAGCAATGCAAGTTTTACGACCTTGACTTCAGAGGAGCGCATCTCGTACTCCTTTCCAGGGGAGCGGATCGCCCGCTTCTCGCCGTCCTTCGCCGGCAGTCCCTACCGGGATCCGGCCAAGGAGTCCAAAGCGCCGGAGTCAGATGACTCTCGGGTGAACAAGTGTAGTAATGTTTTTTGTTACGGTTTAGGGCCAGGAACACCTGAAACATGCTTGTTGTGTGTGTGCTAAGGGCTTAGAATTTATGGTCAGGGTTCATTGGAAGCGATAGTAGCGTTTCTTCGGGTTTGACGTTTATGCGTTTTTGTTTTACGGCTTGACTGGGCTCATTGAAGCAGAAAAAGAGCTTGGCCTGAAAGTGCTTTCGCGGCTCGATTTCTGTGTGGATGATGTTCCGAAAAGTATTTCAAACCCTAAACCCTAAACCTAAACCCTAAACCCTAAACCCTAAACCCTAAACCCTAAACCCTAAACCCTAAACCCTAAACCCTAAACCCTTTCCCTGCCAAGGAGAAAGGCCTCTTTTCCTTTGCCTCGAAGCTCTTTGAGATGTTGGGGGTGGCTTGGCGTCCCAGAGTCCCAGAGCAGCTCTAGGCACTTTGCGATGCGCACCCTACTTGGAGCCCAAAACCGGACATCAAACCTGAAATTGTCTGAAAGCTTGGCCTTCGTCTCTAAGCAAGGAGGCCCAAAAATCACAGGCTAAACCCTACACCAAGGCAAACCTAGATGACCGGAGACACAGCCTGGAGCAAATTCTAGCTGCGAAGAACTTAACAAGCCGGAAGAAGCCTTTGGGGCCCAGCAGCTTGGAAAAGGCTGTGGGGGGGAGGGGGGGTTCTAGGGTGTGTGCTTTTCGGGTTAGGGCGAAGGGGTTTGTGGCGTAGGGCTTGGTGCCCAGGTCCGCTGAGCACCTTCCAACCTCAAGCTTGAGGCTTTGTTGAGTACTGCTAGGGTAAAGATGCGTTGTAAGGCCTGTTTGTGTCAGACTTAGAAGTAGTGCACGGAGTAGAGTTTACACCTGTTAAAGCACAGACGAAGCCTGAAGAACCAAGTAGTCTGAAGGCCCTGGGCCCCTGCAAAGCCAGAAGAAGACCCCGGAGCTCTTGTACCATCCGCGACTGTGCTTTTGACTGTACCTGGAATATCCTGGAATGCTAGGGCTCGTCCTGGCGAGGAGGGAGGGAGAAAAAAAAAAAGAAGCTCCATCAGATTTTGCAAGACGTATACACCTGCAGAGCCCCTCTGGAGCTCTACAAACCCAGTTCTGAACCGAAAAGGAACCCTGAAGGTTTCCATCAAGGGAACCCTTAAAAGAGGAACTTTTGACAGGGAGTCCTTGAAAAAGGAACCTCGAAGCCTTCAACCCTAAACTAAAAACCTGTACAGTAACCCCACGCCCTAATGTTGGCCCCAAAGCTGCCCCAAGAAGCCTGTACTTGCATCTGCCAAAGAATCTGAACAACCCTGCAATGCGGGCTCGTCCTTGCTAAGTGGGCGGGAAAAATCCCTTAAAGCTCTTGCCGTTTCGGTCTTGGCCGTGATGGTTCAGGCAGCACGCTTTCTACGTCCCCGTGGCCCGTGGTGAATTCCTTGCCATCACACACACCCCCCTACACACCAAGTCCCACCAGTCACCAACCACTGCTGGTTCTCTGCATAGTTCAGGTGGAAGGAGACTTCACATCCGACTGCGCTCGATAGACCTCGCCTGGATTGTCCGAGTTGTGAAAGTGTAAAACCTTAAAGACCGCTTAACGTCGCCCGTAAAACCGAACCCCTGCACTAAAGTAACCTTTTTAGAGCCCTAAATCCTAGACCCCTTCATTCAAGCAACCCATAAAAAACTAAGCTTTTGGACTGACGCCGAGGTTCCCCTAAGTCAGCCGGAGGCACCCAAAGTCGAAGCGAAGGGCTTCACTCCTAGCAGCTGGCCTGCGAGGTCGTAGGTTTTTGGGGACATTTAGGGGTTTAGGGTGTAGGTTTGGGGCTTTGGGGTTTAGGGGTTTATATAGGGGTTTAGAGGTTAGGGGTTTAGGGTTTCGAGTTTAGAGGTTAGGGCTTGTTCGTTTAAGGTAGGGCTTTTATGGTTGAGGTTGCTGTTTTTGTTGGGCTTGGGCCAAATATAAAGGTTGGGGTACTTCGTTATAGAATGTTTTGGACTAGCACCCATATTAGTGCAGTTCAGAGGTTTCAAGTAGTTTTAGGATTATAGGCGGGTTCCGTCATGAGTTCTGCAAAAATGCGATTGGGAAGTCTTCAAAGGCTTCAGGTCGAGGGGGCATACCGGCCCAAAAATGATAGTGTTGCTTTCGTAGGGACAAGGGGGCCACTTTGTGTTTCTTGTTGACGGCTCCTTGGTATGATTGTGATCTCCCCATGTTTTTTATTCAAGCTTGCGGTTTCCGGTTTGTCGGGGCGCGGGGTTTAGAGTTCCTCTAGGCGGTCCAGGCTTTAAGGTTTCTGGGCTTGTCCTCAACAGGGCAGTTCTCTAAATTAGGCTCCCGTTGTAGGTCCCCAAGATAGTACGGCACTTTTTTAAAGAGAACCATAAAAGGGATCCTAACTTAAAGAACGAGCCGTCCGCTTGTGTTATCTGTTGTTATAGTACAGGAGGGTTTCAGGCTCGAAGTTCTCGGGGCGCAGTTCCAAGGCCTTCAAAATAGGGGCCAACAACTTGCAACAGCAGGCGCTAGTGGTCCCTGTACAGTTGTAGTATGTTATCGCTCCAACTCTAAGGGTTCAGACTCTTGTATCACCAAACAGAACACCCGAGCCCGAAGTGCCCAAATTCTCGACTTGAAAACTCTGAACCCGAAACCCCAAGGCCCTGAACCCCAAACCCCCTAGCCTTTCACATTGTCAGCTGGGTGGGGTTGGAAAAATGCTCTTCACCTTCCCGCAAGCTCAATATGCATAAAATGCCGAAATCCGAAAGGCTTCAACCCCTACACTCAGATCCCAAGACCCTCAAACCAAAACCCCAAACCCTCAAACCCCAGCGCCGAAATCCTCCCGACCCGAGGCGAGACGGCCATCATTTTCGACTGGGACGATACTCTCTTCCCGACCTGGCATGCCTTGGAGGACCCTAGGCAGCAAACAAGTCCCTTGTGAAAAAAAGGCACGGACGCCCTCCCTAGCCCACCCAAAAAGCCAAGACCCGAAGGTGAAAGAGCATCGTCTGCCCGGGGACAAGGCTTTTCACGACTCGCTGGATCAGTTGCTTCGCTGCGTTGAGGGTTTGACTTTAGGAGGGTTTAGGGTTGAGTGCTGTGGCTGTGTGCTTGACTAGAGAAAACTGTTGTGGCTTCTGGGGCTGTCCCTAGAAGCGGTGCAGAAGGCAAGGGCCTTGGGTCGAAGATGTTGCGTCGGAGTTTCGGGTTTGCATGGCCGAGGGTCTTAAAGAGCTCCTTGGTAGATAGCTTGTGGCAGATAGACATGCGAAGGGCTGCAAAAGGTCAAGATTTGCCGAATTTATGAGGATGTGCTTTTGCAGGACCGACCTTTAACCCAGGTCGTTTGCTTCTGTCGCTGCACAAGTGCCACACCAGTCCATGTGACCGGCACATGAAGGAGGGAATCACTTGACCATATGTATACAAATATATATATATATATATATGTATGTATATATGTAATGTATGTATGTATGTATGTATGTATGTACGTACGTACGTATGTATGTATATGTATGGGTATATGTATGTGTATGTTTATATGTATGTGTATATGTATATGTACATGAAAATGTATATGCATATGTATAAGTAAATATCAAAGGAACAATTAGCAATAGCTTCCCCTTGTGGCCTCATAGTCACTGTATAGTTCTATCGTAATAAACCCCACAGACTTCGAACCTCTGTTCCAATCATGAAGGCTAAATGACATGCGACCTAACCTTGAAGCTTGAGATGGACATGCATTGGCAGACTGGCAGACTCAGGCAACGCGAAGGGGCGAAGCTACACATCCTCATTTCGCCCAAAAGCCAAACCTTGACTATCAACTTTCCAGCCCTTATCCCTAGCAAGTCAAATCCTAACGGTAAACTTGAGCGTGGAAGCCCGTAACCACCTAATCAGCCTAGGCTGACGAACACTGTCCGCGACCTCCTGCCACTTTGCCTTACGTGGGCACAGGTTGGACGAATCCCAACCTTCAGTGTTCGAATATTGAGGTGGGAATATTTCTCCACTTATATTTAATCGTATCCCGTTATTGTCCTTAGTAAAATTAAGCTAAAGAAAACAAGATATCAAGAGCCAAAGGCATTCAATCATAAGCTTTTGCGTGGAATGTCGCTACAATTTCCGGCTTATGGGATATCCCAACCTTATGGTTCTGCGTAGGTGACATATCGAGTCTCTGATCTAGACCTTCGGTGTTTCGGAGTGCTGTTAGGGTTTAGGGATCTAGAACTTCGTGTTTCAGTCTAGTCGGTTTGGAAGTTTAGGGTTCCAAGGTTCAGGGCCGAGAAACCCCAAGTCAGCAAGAGAGAACTCCCAAAATTTTTGCGACCCTAAACCCGAACTCCCGAACCCCTTGGTGACGTGTCTCCGAGGACGCAGGCCCGCTCGTGTGGCCGCGTGGCGATCGTCACGCTCTCCCGGCGACTGAGCTGGGACACGGACCCCACTACCAACCCTGAGTATTATGCGTAGGTATCATTATAGCATTTTCCTAAACCCCAAACCTGAACGGTGGCTTTGCATTGTATACGCCGAAGAAGCCCTCTACTCCAATTTTTATATCGGGTGTCGTGGCTAGGCTGGATGCTGGAGGGTGGTTCAAGGGGGGAGGGTACAAGGGATCCTGAGGAACCCTTAAGGGAACCTCAGGGAATACTAGGGGGTTAGTATAGAAGGGTTTGGAGACTTTCATAGTAGGGCTTTCGAGGGTTTTGCTGGTGGAGGTCTGGAGGCCAAGGAGACTTCCGAAGGGCTCCAGATTGCGATGTCGAGTTCATTCGTAATGAGACGCTCCTCGGGCTGATGGAGACAAATGATACACCACATGCGCATATTATATATATATATATATATGTATGTAACACCAAAGTAATAGTTTTACTAATTATATATATATATATGTATACATATATCCAACCTTGGAGACCCGAAACCCCAAACTGCTGAAACCTTAAAGGACGCCCTACAGCCCATGTCAGGGGTTGGGCCATTCAATTTGTGAGGGGCTTGCATGAAGTGACCTTCAGTTCACGGTGTGGAGGTGCCAGGGTCGGAAGACTCATTGCAGCGGCAATGTAGTTGTTGAAGGTTCCCTGTTGCAGTGAGAATATACCCCAAACCCCATTCCAATCATTCAGGCCCCTAATTTATGTAAAAGACACAACCCCATTTAAGCCGAATGCCTGCTCAGGACCGCGGCTAAACCGCCCTAAACCATAAACCCGAAACCCCCAGACCCTAAGCCATAAACCCTAAACCCCTAAACCCTAAACCCGGGAAAAAACAATCCTAAGCCCCTAAACCGTAAAAGGCACAACCCTAACTAAGCCGAATGCCTTCTGAGGCGACCTTGGGTAGCGGAGTCGGCAGCGGAGTTCATGCCGCGCTTGAACATTGAAGCTCTGTGCTTGGGCCTGAACCCCCTGAGCTCTTCATCCTTAAAACCTCGGCTTCCGGGGTGTAGGGTTCAGGAGTTGAGGGGTTTGTGGGGGAAGGGGGGGTTGGGATTTACTGTTTTGGCCCCACGGTCTGGGATGTGGAGGGTGGGGTCAGGATTTAGGGTTTTGTGCGTCAGCTGTCCTGGCGTGACGTTGCAAGCCAGTTGCAAAAGGGTTTTGTGCGCAAGTTGCAATCCTTCACAGCAGATCCCACACCCTTAAGCCATAATATGTCTTCACCTTAACAATCAGAATGAGGCTTGGGGCACAAGTGTGGACCATTTTGACGCATGAACACAGATTCGTCACGGCCCTGAGTCACCTTGAATGGCCTACCATTACGTATTTATATGCTTTCATGTCAGGGTCGGAGGACACTCGGGGCCTGTGACCCAGTGCCAACTCTCAACGCTGCACTTTTGAAGTTGAAAGCTTTATCAGCAAGTATCGTGCCGATTGCGCAAATGGGTGTTGGCAGTTTGGCTGCCGTTGTGGCCGTTCTGCTATGGCTATGAGTTGATGATAGCTTCATGAAGCTAGTTGCTGTATCTTCGGGTTATGCGCGTGATATGCTGCACTGAACCCTAAGCCCAAAGCCTCAAGCCTCACTGCAAAGCCTGAAACTTAAACCCAAAGCGAGGCTTGACGAGTTGCAGATTCCTCTTATCTACTCGCGGGAGTGCGTGCCGCTTGTAAGGCATTAGCCCTGCTTTGGGCGCATTGGGGTTTACCTTGGGCTTAGGGTTTTGGATTTTGGGTCAGTGATTTGCAGGCATGAGCGAAAAATGTAATTTCAGTATGCCTTTGTGATGTCTCTCTGCAGCATAAAACAACAGTATACACCTCAACCCTACTCGAATCATCACGACCCGGCAAAACATGTATGGTCCTTATATCAAAGATGCCTCGTTGAGGGCCCCTGCACCTCTGGGGAGGGCAAGTTTAGGGTTTACATGGGCCCCCAGGTTTAAAGCCCGTCCAGCTCGGATGTTTGCTTTAATCACCCCCCAAACCCCCAACCTTAATCCCTCAAAGCCTCAAGACCTAATCCCCAAGCCCTGTTTAGCTTTCCCAGGAAGAAGCACCACATGAGAAGCCCGGACGGCGAGTTCGAGGAGGGCGTCTGCCCCCTAACCATGGCCAAGGAGACTCGGTTTTGAGGGTTCCTTTCAGGGGTCCTTTAAAGGGAACTACAATGACTCGAGGGTTCAGGGATGAGGAGACTCGGTTTTGGGTTTTGGGGGTGTCGGGGTTCCTTGCAGGGGTCTCTTAAAAGGAACTATAGGGATTCTAGGGTTCGATAGTAGGGTCGCCTGCAAAGGCTCCTTTTTGTAGGGTTCCTAGACCAGAAAGTTGCTTGATTTGTGTTCAGGAATGCGGGTGTTGCGTTCAGGATTGAGGGTCTAGGGTGTAGTTCTTCTCTGTGGTTTGTAACCTAAACCCTAAACCCTAAACCCTAAATTGTGATGAGTAAGAAGCACACGAAGAGCCAGAGCCCCACAGCCAAGGAGCAGGCCATGAAGAAGGTCTTGAAGCGGCCGCTGGATCGAAGTACCGAGCTTTCTCATGGGGTTGAGAGGGCCTCGGCTTCTGCGTTTAGATGTTAGGGTTTCCATACTACCAGTAGGGTTCAGAGTAGAGGGTTTCGTCTGTAGCGACCAGGTTCCAAGCCAGAGCCAACCCCGTTGCCGAACAGCTCTTGCCCATGGTGCGCTTGGTTCGCGATGTTTCAGCCGGGGAGCTCTAGGGCCTACAATACCCCAAAACCCTAAACTGACCCTAGATTTGCTCAACCGTGAACGGCCCCAGACCCTAAACCTGTAGGGTTGAGCGTAGGCGGATGGAGTCAGCGGAGGCTTTATGGGAAGAACCCCTGGAAGAATGTCCTCTCGATCGGAGATTCTGTTACCGAGAAGGATGCCATCACTGAGCTGCAGCTTCGCCTTTTCAGCTTTTGGAGTGGCAGGGATCGGGCTTTCGTCTCCAAATCGGCGAAGCGTTGCGACGTGAGTAGTTCTTCAAGGTCTAACGGGTGTCTTGAGGAGGTGTTCTTGCCGTTTGCGCCAAGACAAGAAGTTCAGAGTAATTCAGGGTGCAGCGGTATCCCCTTCAAAATATCCTACAATACTTGTGCTAGAACATACGCCCGAACCCCATTGAAAAAGGATGCTTCCTGCTTCTGTGGAGCTTCCTCTTCGGGTCCTCTGCATGTCTTACATCGGATTCATTTCTATACCTTAAACCCCCTGAGTGATTCATGAAGTCTACACGGCCTTGCAACGCGTCTGGTGCCCTCACCTGGGCCCGGCGGCATGCGCCTTGGGTGCAAGCCATAGGTAGTCAAAGCAACTCAGATCCGCAGGGTGTAGGGGTTCGGGGCCCAAAGCCAAATCCGAAGCCACCGCCTGCGGCAAACGGAGCTCTAGAGCACGCAAACCCCAAGCCAGAAGCATCCGGAAGCCTTGCATCAAGTCTGCTTCCTTACCCAACAGCCCGAATCGATAGAACCCAAAGGCTTAGCATCATAATCCGATCCGCCTAAGGGCCTAGGCCCAGGCCCTAAGCTTTGAATGCTAACCGCTCAACCCCAAGCCCTCGCGACGAGACCGTTTTTCCTGCGCGAGGCCGAAACGTGGTGTTTTACTTCACATGTGTTCAACTGTTATATATATACACACACATACGCACACCTGTAAATAAATACATGAAACTATACCTATACTTGTACATAGAAACATGCTTATGTATGTATACATATATATATATATATATATATATGCAATACATACATGCATATATGGATATGGATATGGATATATATATATATATATAGAATAAGATGGTGTTATGTACAGTATCAGGCACTGGGCCATCATGGGCGAGGATGCAAAGAGCTGTTGCAAGACCTTGTGCCTCGGCGATGCTTCGGCGGCTCCGGGTTAAACGTAGGGGCCGGAGAAGAAAATTTTGTTAGGGTGGAATCGGGACGATCGTAGTAGTAGGGGCCTTAAGAAATAGTTACAATAGGGTGCTGGGGTCTATTCATGGGGCATTTTACTCCGTCTAAAAAAACGACACCCCGCTCTGTTGGCTCAACTAGGACGGACGGCATGGGGTTTTGGTACCAGCCCGGGGTGAGAAGATTAAATGGTACGAGCACTACCACGAAAACACGCACAAAGCCTCAACGCAGTTCTAGACACGTCGAGTATTGAAAACCTGCTACCGATACACAGCACGTATACTCGTCATAGCGCCGGGCCCCAAGCATCGAGCACTGGGGGTGCTACGGTCCAGGATGTTTAGGGTTCAGAGAGTTATTTTAGGGTTCAGCAGGTTTGGCATTTTTTTGCAGGATTTTAGGTTCAGGATTTGTGAGTTCAGCGGCTAGGACCAAAAGGGTTTGGGAAGAACAGATTTGCATCTAGGCCTTGGCTTGCCAAGGAAGATGCTTCACAACCCGACTCTTGCGCAGCTACAGATGGAGCTCACGGTGATCAAGGCGAGGACATGTCAAGTTTCCCCAAGTTTCGGCTTATGCTTGAAAACCCAGACTCTCAGCCTAAAGGCTTAACTTCAAAATTGATCCTTGACTGTAAAGTCCACAAGCAACAATAAGCAATCTTTCACCATCAGCCCGCAGTCCCGACACCACCATCCCGTGTGGCCCAGGACAGCTACAACGTGCTTGGGGTTATAGGGGGTCAGTTTAGAGCTGCTTCCCAGCTGGTTGGCACTGTAAATGGTTCAAATTTTAGGGATCAAATTGTGGGTGATATCTGTATTGCCCAGGCGCAAGAGCGACATCTCCAGAACCCCATACTCATACCCTTTAGGGCTTTGGGATTGATGTAGGTTCCATGACGACACAGTTTGGGCCCTTATAGACCCTAGGCCCTAAGCCCCATCGACTTTCCGAGCTCTAAACCCTATCGGCCAACGAAGGGTTTAGGGTTTAGGGTGCTCTCAACCAGGATGCCTTGCCCAACATGGCCAAGCGTGCAGAAGACTTTACCTGGGCCGTGGACGAGCAGGGTTTGATCGGGGCCTGAGAGTCCAAGTTTCTGTCCCTGGAGGTACCCCCAAACCCAAGCTGGACCCCAAACCCTAAACCTAGGTGCTTTGTCAGGGTTCCGTGATATGATTCCTTATATACCTCCTGAAAGCAGTCGGCTGTTTGGGGTCAAGGAAGGAACCCGAATCCTGGACCCCCAACAGCCTAAGCTCTGGAACAAGAACCTAGACCCCAACACCCTGAAGCTTTGCACCCGAACCCTAGATCCTAAACTGTAAAACCCCTGAGCCCCTAAAAGCCCTGAGCCTTGAGGACCCAAAGCCGAAATCCCTGGAAGCCTGCACCCACGCATCCTGAGATTTGACCACATCATGTTGGTGCCACATCATCTGAAGGATTGAAGTTTACAGGTTCAGGGTTCAGAAAAATTTCATATGGGTTTTGGGTTTGGAGGGACTTGTAAGGTTTTTGTTGGTACCTGGTGTTTTAGGACTTGGTTGTTCAGAGGCTTAGGGTCTCTGAGGTTAGAGCTTTCCATGGTTGCTGGACTGTGCGTAAGACATCTATGGCTCAAAGTGCGTTAGTGGTTATAGTTTCGGGCCATCTCCGGCTTCGGGTCCCGTTTGTAAGACCTGAAGAGGTTCCAGCAGCCCTCGTACCCACCAAGTTCTCTTTGCATTGACCTGCTGTCTCTTTGCAAGCCCTCAACCATGATAACAAACACCCCGGTCGCAAACCTCAGGGACGACTTGTTTTAGAGCCTGCTGCCCCGTCTCACCGATGCAGACACAAGCTGCTGACTGAAGGCCACAATTCGCCCACACCCAAATCCACGGCTGGGACACGCACGAAAGACTCCACGGGTGGAGATTTGATTTTTGTAGGGTCCCTATGAATTCCACATTAGGGTTTATAGTAGGGTCCAGAAAATAGGTTATGGTAGTTTAAGGTAGGCCTTCTGGTTTGAGTTTGGATTTTCGGATTTGCGGTGGCTCAAAGCTCCAAGTTGGCAGTTGTTGGGTGGTTTTGCGTGAAGAGACATGAGGCAGAGCAGCGACCAAGACTCGCAACGTAACTGGAACACGCCTTAAACACTTAAACTCCGAATTGAAAAGCGCCAAGCGCTCTCAAAACTTTCTGGCTGAAGTCAAGCCTTCAACCGACAGCCTAGAATCGGCCTAGAATCTAGAAAGTAGAACACCGAAACGTACAGCCCCAAGCCAAAAGCAGTCGCGTGACCGACATGACCTGTCGGTCGGCAGCTTTGGCCCACCTGCATTGATTCGTAGGCCGCCAGGCATGGCGCGGTTGCACCCGCAAGCTGAAGCTAGAACATGCCTAGACTAGACCCTGAATTGTAGGTTCCCACAACAAGAAAAAAAGCTTTGTCAAAGAAAGGGTCGCGGCAATTAAGATCGTGGTTTCGCTGCTTGTGGATCCCCTACAGGAGCCTTTCCATAAAGCCCTTTACCACCAAATCCGCACAAAGGGTTTAGGACCGATGTTTTGTTTTGCAGTGCGGCGTCGCACGTGATGCTCTTTTTCGAACATCCTATGTCATACAGCATAAACCCTAAACCCAAGGTTTGGAATTTGGAGTTTCGGGTTGATTGTCCTTTCGGGTTCCTCCAGCAAGCCTAGCAACCCAAATGCTAAACTCCAATGACTTCAACCTTACCTGTAGCTCCGAAAAACTTGCTTTTGGTAAGAGATCAGGACGAAGAGCTCCAAGGTTGTACTTGTAATTGATTTGGGCGACAGGTGACAAGCCCTAAACCTGGAATCTTTGACATCGACATACGGGAAGGGATTGGGGCCCGCCTTTCCATTCTAAGGCCTGAAGCAGCTCAACAGCCCAAACCCGAAGCATGCGTAGAGGCCATGTCCGCCTACTAAAATAAGGGGTCTATTTGGGCGTATATACAGGGCCATTCAGAGTTGCAAGCGCTTTCGGACCCCATGTTATTTGTTGACTTACGCCGGATGGATCACACTGTCCGGGAGTTGTTTTCAAGCGCCGATAACCCAAAGCACAAACCTCTAAACCTCTAATCCTAAAGGCTTAAACTAACAAACTCAGAACCCTGGACCCCGTAACATTAAACCCTATAGACTCATAGACCCTAAGTAACCCTCAACCCTAAACCCCTCAAAGGCGGGCTGCAACTCCTAGGAAATAGGGCGTTTCTTTCCCCAGGATCCGCCAGGATCCCGGGAACTGTTTCACACGAGACTTTCTGGTGGGCGTAGAGGCCCACCAGCACAGGTGCTATCGTCTACCTTGTGGTATACAGTGGGTTCTTGTTCCTGATTCTCATGTCGGTTATCATAATCGGGATCTATAGTAAATAGTGCGGTTTCCTTACTGTGGCAACTAAATTTATGTTATATAATTGAAAAGAGCCCAGTTGTGGTCAATGTAGCATGTTTCATCAAGTCCTTAAAATCGGCACAGAACCCAGAACGGAGTATGGACGCACGCATGAGATACTTGCAGCATGCTTTTATGTCTTTCGCCGAGTGCTTAGAATCGGATCGGACCAGCACAGACTAATGTGGAAACAAGCATGAGTTACTTGCAGCATGTTTTATGTCTCCATTTAGTTACATGCCTTTCGCACATGCGTGTACAGGTAGCGTGTTAGGATTGTGGCGGCCTCACTGGCAAAAAGGATCTCTGTGCAGTGGTTGGCTGGCTCAAGACGAACCCCGAACATTTTCAGGGTTCTTACTTCCTTGAATCCTGAACCTTGAGCCCCACCCCCCGTCCCCCCCTGACACAACACAATGCTCTAGACGCCCAAGACCCACCAAGGAGTCAGAGGAAGCCCATATCTATGCTGGCTGCTGGAAATGTCTCCCTCTCCGTGTCCCCTTGTCATGTCCCAACAACCTTATTGCAAGGACCCCTGAATAAGACGCACACCAAGTCGAAGATTCCTAGTTTCGTTGCTTGCTTAGGTTGAGGGTTGCTTTCTGGGGTCCCAAGTTGCACGTGCAGTTTTCCCAAGCCCCAAAATCACCGAAACCTCAAATCTCACCCCACCAACGGCCCTAAACCCTAAGCTAAGGAACCTCGCCTAGGCAAGTCTAAAACTAAACCCTAAGCCCCAAACCCTGGACACCAAGAACCCCCTAAAACCTCCGAGCTCTTCAACCAAAGTCGAGGCGACGAGGTCGACGTCGCGAGGCCCGCGGAGAGAGTTGCTGAGCTTTCGGGTTTTAGGGTTTAGGGGTTTGGGGCCTAGTGCATTGCAGTCCCTGCTCAAAGAGGGGTTTGGTGCTTTGGTTTGGGTAAGGTCAGCTCAGATGTTGGTTTATGCAACGTAGGAGGGTTCAGGGGAAGCGGGAAGCCGGAAGTCGGTGAGTGATATCTGCTATTTCTGGGGGTTCCTTGTTACCATTACAGTATAAGAAGGCCCCAAAGCACTGTTCTAATTATTGTTGAAGGCTTCTACATTAGTTTCAGAGTCTGCAGTACTCAGGGCTTGTAGCTGTGTTCGGGGGCTTGTCTGGCGGGGCCGAGCCTGTCTGAGGTCAGAGCTCGGGATCGGGGTTCGTGGCAATGGATGTAGGTTTGATGTGGGATACATGCCCAAACGGTCCTAAAACAGTACTTATATCATATAGTAGAACGTCCGGTCTCGACACTAGGAGTCACCTAAATGACTTGGGAAAGTATTCCCAAAACTGTACCTAGGACATTTTGGGACGGAGTCAGCTGGGGGTGTGCCCATGCCTGTCAGCTTTGAGAGAGCATTTGCCCGCCGGTGTGGATCGCAGGCAAGAGCAGGAGGACATGGAGGGCTTTACAGTTGTTCCAAAAAGGGATCTTCAAGTTAAGGGTTCCATATGAAGGCTTCTAGTTTACGGTCTGTAATAGGGCGTCATGTTGCAAGTGAGCTATGCCACCAGCGCCGGCCCCAGCCCTGCCTTGGCAGCTGGCTTGAGGCTCTCAGAGCTACCAAGAAAACCCCCGGCACCACCACAGCGCTGCGTGGCAAAGCTGGCGACCGCTGCCTCGGTTGCCTTTGCCTGCGGCCTGCTACGACGACAATGCCGAGCTGCCAGACTCCCCTGCTCTGCGGTGCAGATGCAAGAGACACAGCACTCCCGGGCTGTGAGAAAGTGGTTGAAGGAAGTGGTGACTGGGTTCTTGTTAAGGAATTTCATTAAGTTACCATAATAGGGATCTAGAGTAAATGGTATGGCTTCTCTTCATTATGGTAACTTAAACTTTATTCCTTTAACAAGAACCCAGGTGATTGGTTTGGGCTTCTGCCCTTGGGCATCCCCTGCTGACATACGAGCCTGGCCTGCACTGTCTAGCTGTTTCAGCGCTCCCAAGTTTGGCTCTTCTTCTGGGCCTTTCCATCAGATGCTCATGCATCCTATCGTACTCGGGTTTTGCACAAAAAAAACACATCATGGATCGTACTGCTACAACCCGAAACGCGTGAACAGTGTAGTACAGAAGCTTGAAAACATACAAAACATTGCCAATACTGCTTAGGGCTATATTAACGTAAGCTCATTATATTAGAAGATACCGCGAAACCCCATTCCAGTTCTTACAGCCCCTATATCAAGCTTTCCTCTGGAGCTGAGGGCAAATCCAGAGTGCGACTGGTACTGTTTTGAATTGCCTACCGGGAGGGCGCACTCCCCGATCGCAATGCACGACTAAGCTGCCAAAGCCTGAGAAAGAAGCGCTTGGGCCGCAAGCCCGAACCTAAACCCGACGCCTTAAGCCCTGAATCCTGAACCTAGCTGGGCGGGTGGGAAAAAAATCTTTAACCCTTAACCTTTTAGGTAGTGCTGACATAAGCGGCAAAGAAAAGCTACCTCCCTTCACAACACAGCCTCTACAAACTTAGGGCCCGGCATATCTCAGGAGTGGTGACCAGCATGTCCAGAACGGCGAACGAGGTTCTCGCCGACTTAGCGGAGGTCGCCGGGTTCAAGATTCGGGGTCCTTCAAATGATCTATAAGGTTAACCCGTAGTAGGGCTCCTTACAGGGATTTGTTGTTCTGCGTTCCTGGCGTCTTGAAGTTTCAGGACTCGAACGGTTTCTATTCGGCTTCGTTGAAGGGATTTATTAGGATTCCGTAAAGGGATCGAATCTCTTAGGGTTTCGTTAGAAGGGTCTATAATAATATGATATAAAGCTTCTATGAGGGTACTATCATGTTTCTATATGAATAGTTCTCTAAATCAGGGTCCCTCTTTGGCACTAAGTAACTAGATGGTGTTTTTTTTTTTTTGGGGGGGGGGGTGTTATGTCAGGTCTGTGATAACGTATCAGAAAACCCGAAGGAATACCGTGATTACATTATCCAAGTTAGAGCCTTGGCAGAAAGCCGTCGGGCCTCAAGGTTAGGCAGTCCTTCTCAAGGGAGCAGGTCTTCTCAATCCAGGGCTTACATCAAGAAAGTTGGCTGTGGTTCCGAGCTTCGGAGCATAAGGTTTTGGTTTGCCGCGTATGTAGGCTTTAGTTACGCGGATGATCAGTAGAGTTTTGGTTTCAGGGTTTGTCTGAACAGGTTTGGGCTTCAAGAAGGTGCATATGGTTTGCGAGATGTCGGATTCCGTGCGCAATGTAGCACGTAGGGCTTGCAGGCTTTCAAGGCAATGGGTTGCTTGTTGAGGTCTTGGAGGCTGTCTAGTTCACAAAACTCTTCAAGCTTCACATCTTGAAGAGGAGCTGAAATCTATAGTGCAGATCCAAAGCACATCCTACTTTTAAGGAATAATCTTGATTAGACCCGACGTCCTAAACTTTGGAGAGTGATAAGCCTAGAAAGAAACCGTTAAGTTACCAAGTTAAGGATGACCATAAGGCCCAAAACAGGGATACGACAATATACCCTAACATACTACATAGAGATATGGACTTATACAGATATGTTTAGAATATTGCCTAATCTACTATAAAAACAAACCGTAATCTACTCCAAGATACCACTGCAGGAGGCTGAGGAGCTGTGGCGACCGGGCTCCAGCAACTCCAAGACCACCCTGGTGGCTGCTTGGATCAAAGGCAGAGGTTCTGGGGATTCAGGGCGTCAGGGCTTTGGGATTTTGGGTTTAGGGTTTCGGGATTGAGAGTTTCGGGCTGTAGGGATTTGATGTTTTCGGTTTAGCTTTTGGGTTCACGTGTCCGTAGGATTGTGGGGTTGCTTTCGGGGTAAGGGGTTTCGACAGTTCAGAGCTATTGTTTTGTATGTACACAGGCGTTTTGATAAGCTAAGTCATGAAAGGTGTTCTGGGGTTGTCGCCGATGTGTGTTGAAGACATCCAGCTGAGTGGTGGCATTTTCAATTTGCAGGCTCAGATACCGCACACGGAAAATAGAATGGTGAACAGTCAACCCTGAACCCCCGAATTCGGAACCTTCAGCCCCAAGCCCTACACCCCAATTGTGTAGGTGTAGGTGTGCCGTTGTGGAAGAAGCAGGCAAGGCCTTAGAATGCTTTCGGCTTGAGTTGATGCTGCTCTTGGTTATATGAGACCCTCTGGATGACAGTGACATTTTAGGTGCTAGTGCTCTTGCCACCGTTTCAGCAATGGTGACCAATAGCATGCCATAGTTGCTGTCACGAGCTCGTCAAACCCTTGAGCTGAGAGTCAGTTCCCGGACAGCTTAAAGCGCTAAGCTTGGACCCACGGCTCGAGCGCACGTTGCTGAGGTCTGCCCGCATGCCGCTTGGATTCAAGCCATCAGAGAGCCAGCTCTTGCTCCGTTTTTGCGAGTGCTTCCGCTGTTGTTACTCGTGGGAGACAGCTCGAGACCCTGCATCTTCGGGTTGTGCAATCTGTAAGCACCAAGCTACAACCCAATAGGAAAGCCGAGAGATGCCTAGGCCTAGGCCTAGGCTCCCCTCACAGGACCTTAAGGTCGCCTGTGCAACGTATGCGGGTCCTTTTCCTACTTACGGCGCTGCCTCAGCCGGCTTCGGCTCCCAACCCCTTTGGTGCCCTAAAGCCTAAAGGATACGCATGAAAACCATCACAAAAAGCAACCCCAAAGTATCAAAAGAACTTCAAAGCCCTAAACCTCACCAGCCTTTGAACCCTACATGTATTGAAGCCCCATGCACAGATACAGGCTCCTATAAGCCTCTTAAGCCCCAAAAAACCGAATAAAACCCCAGAGGTCAAGGCTTGGACCCAAGACTTCCGACACTTCCACGCTTTCTACACCTGGCATCTCGACGGCGGCTTTGCGATGGCGGCTCCTTGGTCGGGGTTTAGGGTTTAGGGTTTAGGGTTTAGGGGTTTCAAACGACCCCCAGAGCCCTAAACCTGGAAGCCCTACGGTTTAGGGTTTATGGGCTTTTGGGGTTTGGGGGTTTTCGTGTTTAGGGTTTACAAAGGGTGAAACCAGCACCAGAGCCTCAAGCCCTAAATCTTGGAAAGAAAGCCCAAATCCCGGAACCCTGCACACTGCACCCTTAGTTCGGAGTTCAGGGCCTCTTTTCGAGGTGTTGCCAAGTTTTCGCAATGAGAATGCGAGTGCTTGAGGCCTGGATAGGGTCTCTGAAGCCGCGGGGTGTCATTTGTCGCGAAGATGCCCGGAAACAGCCATGAGGTGCAGGGTTTGCGGTAAACTTTCTCCCGATGCTTTAGCCCTTATAGTAGCCTGCAAGATATCTCTACCGCAACACCTAGAGTATCGTTATGGTGTAGTTCCTCTATAGTAGCAGTGAGTACTCGTAACCCTTAGTAACCAGCCACCTTTCAAAGCAGCCCTGAACCGCCTTGACCCTTACAGTAACACTGCGTTAGGCTTTTGGACCCAAACCCCGGCTAAGACCTCACCCTAAACTCTCAACCCCAAACCCTAAACCCCAAACCCCAAACCCTAAACCCCTAAACCATGAGCCCGGAAACCGCCCAGGAGCCCATGGGGGTGAAAGTGGTGCCTTTCCACCCGCACTTCGCCATGGCGCGCGCGCCGCCGAGGATGGGCGACGCGATCTTCGTGCCGGGGCCCGATGGTGCAGACCTCAGAGGGGGGGGCTTTGGGGGGGGTTTGAGGGGTTTTAGTTCCGAGTCAGAAACGGCTGAATATTATGATGAAGACCTTCATAGTAGCCTCTCTTTTCGACTGTCTTATGGACTGTACTGCATTGGGGGCAGTGCCCAAGGTTTAGTGGTTCTTGGCTACAGGCGCTCTGGGGATTTCGAACATCAGCGTTTGAGCTGGAAGGCTTGAATCGTTGGTTGATGCCGTTTCGAAGGTTGGGTTTAGCTTTTGGAGTGTTTGGTGGAGGGCCTTGATCTTTGAGGGTTTACGGTTTCGGGCGCAGTGCGGTCTAGGGTTTTGGAAACGGCTCAAGCTGGCTTCGCTTTCAACTTTCGGGGGTTGTGGGACCTGAGGTCAGAATGCTAGAGCGCTTGTGGTGGACCCGGACGTGGGCAAGGACAGCACGAGGATAATGGGGTTGTTGTGCTTCTTCGGGTTCAGGACGCCGACTTTGGGGCTTGGGGCTTGCGGTTTAATATGCTTAGGAATTGCAGGAGGCTTCGGATTGAAGTTGCCTACAACCCGTAGGCAAGCTCTGCCAGGCTCTAACTCCTAAACCCCAAAGCCCGACACCCGAAAGTCTCCTCAGCCGTAGAACCCCAAAGCCCGAAGCCATACAGCCAAAAAACAAACCTGGGGATACTGTATCCCTTAAAGAAACCCCTTTATATCAAGGAATCCTATTCTAATCACAAAAAGGCCCCTCTGCACGCCCATCCCCCACAGTTACGAGGACGAGGCCGGAGAGTTCTGCATGGCCGTGGAGTTCGAGACCGGTGAGCAGGCGGCTTTGAGTCTTGGGTTTAGGCTTTATAGGGCTTGTGGGTTTAGGGCCCCTGGATTTCTTTGACGATCTTTAGGGGTTACAGTTTAGCATGATGGGGTTTTGAGGGCTTTCAGGGTTTATGGGGTTCGGTGAGAAGGTGTATTTAGGGGTAGTTAGTTTTAGGGTTCAGGGAGAGCTGTTGAGGTTCTCTGTGTAGACTGTGTTGGGTTTGGGGTTCAGACAGACGTATTGAGTATTGTTTTTTTTTTTTTTTTTTT